ACAAGTCAGGACACTTTCTTACCTGTCTTTTTTCCAAAGCCGCATATGTCAGAGGAGGAGCATAGGCTGTATTTCCTAGACGTCAGGTGGGCACTAGCCTTCTGCATTGAAAGGACCAAGCCATTCTGCAAGTCGACGCGGCCGATAGGATGAAAGGTGCCCAGCGTTTGCACAAAGAATTCTTCTTGGATCACTGCCGGCATTCGCTACTGCTATGATCAGGCGAAAGTGCAACCCACGGTGATTGTAACCACCTACTCAACCAGGGCGCAGGCCTCTTTGGCAGCCTTTCTGGCCCAAGTGCCTATCCAGGACATCAGTAGGGCGGCCACCTGGTCCTCTGTCCATAAGTTCATGTCCCACTACGCACTTACCCAGCAGGCCCTGGATGATGCTGGTTTCGGTAGAGCAGTACTACAAGCCGCCAAACTGTGAATTCCGAGCCCACCTCGGATACTGCTTGTGAGTCACCTAGAATGGAATCAACATGAGCAAGCACTCAAAGAAAAACAGTTACCTACCTTTTGTAACTGTTCTGCAAGATGTGTTGCTCATGTCAATTCCCTGCCCTCCTACCCCTCTGTCGGAATTGCCAGCAAGAAGGAACTGAAAGGGCGTAGGGTCGGCGGCGCCTAATATACTGACGCATGAGCGCGGCACTCAACGGGGTGGCACAGCTGACCTTACAGGTACCACTAAGGCAAAAGTCTCCAACAACTGTGCACATGGGCAAGCACATACCTAGAATGGAATGGACATGAGTAACACATCTTGAAGAACAACAGTTACAAAAGGTAGGTAACCATTTTTCCTTTGTTACTCAAAGTGGTATTCTAGTAAATACTAGAGTCGCTTGTTTTAATCCCAGACAGATGACAATTGCTTTCTTAAATTTGCTCTGAATTGAAGGGAGAGTGTGCGTAGCTAGCACTATTGAAAGCTTGGAAATTTACATACTGAATTACAAAGGCATTCTACAATTAAATGCAAAAACTAAGTTAAGAAGGAAGTTTGGAATGCCAGTGTTATGTTTCCAGAGCATCTGTAACTCTCTTAGGCCTTGTCTACACTACAGGGGAAATTCGATGTAAGCTACGCAATATGAGTTATCTGAATAGTGTAATTCAAATCGATGTAGCTTAGACCTACTTACTGCGCGGTCCACACTACGCGATGTCGACAGGAGACACTCTCCCATCAACTCCCCGTACACTTCTCGATCTGGTGGAGTACAGGAGTCGATGGGAGAGTGATCTGCAGTCGATTTAGCAGGTCTTCACTAGACCCACTAAATCAACTGCCAATGCATCGATCGCCACTCGTCGATCCCCTGGTAAGTGTAGACAAGCCCTTAGACTATATAGTATTTTGCTGCCTTCTATTTTTTTTATTATGGTTTGCATACACACTGTTTCAAAGTAATTACTGTAGGAACCACAACTTTGAATTTGTGCATATCAGATAATAAGAAAATCTCAGCTGAGTGTTTGATCATATTTGAATAAGCAGGTGATATCTTGGGTGTGAGTGAGGTACCATGAGCTGCTAACCTAGTTCAGCATCTGTTTCCTCACACGCACTTTTATTTATTTATTTATTTTAAGGCTGTCTGGATTTTCACTAACTCTGTTGGTGTTTTCAGGGAACTGAATGGGAGGCTTGTTCCCCTAACTTGTCGCCTGGGGGAAATTGACTAGCTCTCTCTAGAATTTTCAGGAAGAAGTCAATGAGATTGTTCAGAGGGTCAACCCCAAGCCTGATGTATGTGCTCCTCTGTGTGGTATTCTGCTCTTTGAATACTGAAAGCACACTGAGGCTCAGATTCTAGGACCCTGTGAGGTGAGAGGGTTCTAGAGCCCGGGCTGCAGCCCAAGCACGAACATTTATGCTACAACTAAACAGCCCTTTTTCCCGAGCCCTGTAAGTCTGCTGGCACAGTCCAGCTTCCAGTGTCTAGTTGCAGTGTGTAGACATACACTCAGGGTGCACTGAAGGATTTCACAATCACCATCATTAATTGATCTGGCTTTACTGCAAGCTAATCTTCCACCTCATCTCAAAGAACTAGAAAACCTCTGCAATGGACCCTCCTTTCAAACATTAACTGAACTGGGTGAAAGTAAGGGCAAAGTTTATATTCAGCTTGCTATTTCGTGTGGTCTTATCCATTTTACCTACATGATTACTCACTTTGCAATGGCCAAGAACATGTAACTGTTCTCTTGGAGTTAGGACAGAATAACCAATTATAGTCACAGCCAACACACACAAACATTAAATAGCCAGTCAATGCTTTAACCTCACTCTTGATTGCTAGGATTGCATGTACATGTGGAACTCACAGTTATGATGTGAATGTAATGACAAACTTAACTTTAAAATCCGATTGCATGGTGTAGAATTGCCTGGCTTTTCTAGCAGTGATGTGTAAGACAAGGTGTGATTCACAGGTCCAGGAAAGAAAAAGATTCCAAATGCCATAATTCTGCCACCCACGTAAGCTGCTTCTGTCCTCTCCAGAGAAAATCAAAGGTTCAGTGACTTGATCACAGATTCTCCCTCTTTGTTACATACATTCTCCTCCAATCAGGGAACAGAAACAATACTATGTGATCAAGCAGACTTAGCACACGATGATGAATCTACAAACTACAGTTCATAAACAATTCCTAGGCTGAAACTTGTTCATAAACTACCCAACAGTTACAGATAGCCTATTTTTCTTCTTACAAACTGATTTTTGTGCTAAATTTGTCAAATGATTCATTCAAAATAGCTCAGCTCCCAATTATGATTGTGAATTACAATAACAGCTGATGGCAACAGGATCTGGCAGCAGAAGTTGCGCTCTATAAACTGGCACACTTTGCAGTTGAACAAGTTCCAAAGAGTACAACTACACAGAAAGGGTGAGGTAGTACTGCCTCGCTTGTATTTTTATTTCAAGCAAAGGGAGGGTTGTCATGTAGAAGTCTTCTTTTTTTTTTTTTACATTTTGGATAGACCCTTTCCCATTCCACTAGTTTGTTTGGTGTCTGTAACATGATGTGGTTTTCAGCAGCATTTTCCAACCCAACATTGTTTACAAGTGAAGGCTGTGTGACTGGGGGTACAAAAATCCTGAAGACTTAAGTCTTCCCAAAAAACACATGCTGCACTGAGCTGAGTGTAAAAGAGCCTGCCTTGATTTTCAACCTTCATTGTAGACCATTGGACCTCCCTTTCAAACCACCAGAGATGAACAAAAGTCAAGTCAATGTTTATTTTTATCTTGGTACTTCAGATGTAAACCTTAGGGCTTGTCTACACTGGCAAGTTTCTGCGCAGTAAAGCAGCTTTTTGCACTCAAACTACAGACGTGTACACGCTGCCAAGCCACTTTGTGCCCAGAAACTTCTCAGTTGTAGCGCTGCAAAAAAAACACCTTGAGGAGAGTCGTAAGGCTATTTGCACAGAGGCTCCAGTGCTCTATTGCCCGTGTGGACATTTGATTGCTTTCTGTGCTGTAATTGGCCTCAGGAGTTGTCATAATGCCTCAAGTGACCACTCTGCTCATTGTTTTGAACTCGGCTGCCCTGGAGACATGCGTCCCTCCCCTTTCAAAGCACCGTTTCTGACAGCCTTTGTGTGCTGTACTGATCTGCTTCAGGACACAAAGCAAACCATTAATGTGGAATGCTCGTGCTGTTGAACACAGAACCAGAGGGGGGCGTGTGGGGTGTGTGTGTGTGAGAGATTGCTGTGCAGAGAGCCCAGGGATGGAGGCAGGGGCTGATGTCAGGGGTTTCCCCCTCCCCCTGCCTCAGGACTGGTTGCTTCGTGCCACTGTCTGAACTTACAAGACAGCATGCTGACACGCTCTCGGTTCCCCCTTCCATACACACACACTCCCTGTCAAAAACTCTCCTCAGGGCCGCCGGGGGGTGGGGGGGCAAGTGGGGCAATTTGCCCCGGGCCCCACAGGGGCTCCCACGAGAATATAGTATTCTATGGTATTGCAACTTTTTTTTATGGAAGGGGCCCCCAAAATTGCTTTGCCCCAGGGCCCCTGAATCCTCTGGGCGGCTCTGACTCTCCTACCCCCCTCCACTTCAGTTGAAAAGCAGCTGGCAATGTAGTAGGATGCCCATGGAAGATGGGATTGAGAAAGCTGCATCATGTGACGCTGTGCCTGCCCCATGAGGCATTGTAAACCTTTCCCAAAGCACTCTGTGGCCAGTTGCACAGTGGGATAGCTACCACAATGCACTGCTGTCTTTGCCGTTGCAAGAGCTGCCAGCACAGCTCCACACCACTCCCAGCCCAGGACTGTGCATGAATGACATAGTCTACCCTGAGAAACAGGTATTGTGTACATTTAATACATCATTTTGCGCTATCAAGCTGCAGCACAGATAGATGTCAAATGTTTAGTATTTCTACTACAGCTCTGAGAGACCCTCGGAGATTAGGATTTAGTTGCATTATCTGATGCTGTGCTCGAGTCTGGTTGTGACAATAAGTATTTGTTCACACACACACACACACACACACACACACACACCACAGTCCTTTGAAATATTGAATCTGTTGACAGCATTAAGACACAAAACAAAACACTAAGACTTTCTCTAAACACAAAAGTAGTACAGATTTAACTATACTTACAAACACCAGTATAACATTCCTATACAGGACGGGGAATGAGCTCTACTGTATAACACACCTTTGTACTGTATATCTGTGTCCACATTAGGGATTATACTGGTATAAATATAGCTGTAAAAAGCTCACTCCCTCAACCAATATAGTTATACCAGTACAACACCTTTATATAATCCAGGACTGAGCCTTAACGTGTTACGTTATTAAAGTTGTCATGAGAGGTTGTGGCATAGCTTCATCGGATAAGCAATTCCGAAACAATCAAAACAACAGCAAGCTAAGCAAAATACATGCTAAAAATAGTTGGCCTTTTAAAATGTGTAATTTGTACCATGTACTTTACCCTCTTGCATTAGTACAAAAATCCATGAGAAGAGCACAAGCTATTACGGAAAGAACCATGAAGGCCTTTCTTCTGCTAGCAGCCATTGGACTTTGTTCGGCGCAATACAACCCAAATACAAAACCTGGGAAGATGTCTATTGTCCACCTGTTTGAATGGCGTTGGGCTGACATTGCTCTTGAATGTGAACAGTATTTAGCACCCAATGGATTTGGTGGAGTTCAGGTACGTAGCCTCTAATATTAATTGACAGTGAAATTGCCTCATAGGCTGCACATTTTGCTTACCAAAGTAAAAATCCAGGTCATAGGGGACAGGCACCAAGTTCAAACTAAATAGAAATTGGTAATGGAAGTACTAAATGCTGAAGCAGTGAAAATAGACCAGCCCGTCATGATGGGGGTGCATTTATTTAATCACTCCAAAGGGTGTAATTGAAATATTTATTCCTCTAAGTGAAAAGCAACACCTGAATCTTTATTTACTACTGTGGAAAATGAGGGAGATACCTGTATTTTATTTTTTTTATGACTATCGTATGTACCTCAGTTTACCTGCCTGGTATTTTGACTATGCAGAATTAAATGAAAGGAGAAAGTTAGGAGGAAAACAAACAGGAAATGACAGAGATAAAGGTACCCTCAGAGAGATACCAAGGCTCCTTAGGGGAGCAATGGAGTGAGCTTTAATTGGGAAATACTCACCTCTCTGACTCCAGCTGGGCTAGTATGTTTATTTTTCCTGACCCTGGGATCAAAGGAACACGATGGCAAAGACACCTCTGCCTAGGAACAAGGAGGGTGAGCAGGCAGCTGGGCTGGAGGTAAGTCTGACAGACACACTGAAAGTATGTTGCAGGGGCTGGCTGTCTCTCTCCCAGCCCAAGTCTCGGCTGGATGGAACTTACTCAAAACTTGCAAAGAAAGCAGGGCCGGCTCCAGGCACCAGCCTGGCAAGCAGGTGCTTGGAGCGGCCGTTCTGGAGAGGGGCAGCACGTCCAGCTATTCGGCGGACGGTCCCTCACTCCTGCTCGGAGTGAAGGACCTCCCGCCGAATTGCTGCCGCAGATCGCGATCGCTGCTTTTTTTTTTTTTTTTTTTTGGCTGCTTGGGGTGGCCAAAACCCTGGAGCCGGCCCTGAAAGAAAGAATAAAGTTTAGGTAAGACATGGGCATGTATGTAGGCCCCTCACTTTTTAACTCACTTCTCGTAGTTCTGTGTATTTTGAGGGGAATAAATAATTTATTTTGAAGAAGCTGTTTTTCGAGCCTTTAATCAGCCAGTAGTCACAGGCTCCTAGATAAAAAAGGCTGGCAGGCCAGATGCCAAATGCAGTTGGGCTTGTCATATTATCACCAGGGAGCCTGCAGCCCAGAGGCCTATTCTAGGAGTTGTAGGACTGTGTGGTTCCATCCAGAGAGGGATGAGGGTAACAAAACTTGTTACCAGAGAGGTATACTCAAGCAGCTAAAAGGGATCTAAAGTGCAGCTTGGCCTTTGTGGAAGCAGACACCTTTTAGTGTGACAACTACAATTTGATACATACCATTTCTCAAATTGCTGCACAAACACTCACCTACGTCTATTTCATATGCCAGCTTCATTAAACACTTAAATATAAGCAATCTAAGGGGCCTGATCACCCAGTGAGTTCCTGTATATAAGGACTGTCTCTGAGATGCTGAGCCGCTTCATCTCCTATTGATTTCAAACGGAGATGAGAGTGCTGAGCATCTCCCTGGATTGGGTTCTGGTAGAGCCAACTCCTTGCCACAGACGGGGCCTCAGACCCTCTGTCTTTATATGTCTTTTACAACGCTGAACAAGTACATAAGTAATTACTAGTTTATTTTCAAATGACATCACTTTGTTCACAGATATCTCCTCCAAATGAAAATATTGTCATTACTAACCCATGGAGACCCTGGTGGGAAAGATACCAGCCAATCAGCTACAATCTATGTACACGATCTGGAAATTATGATGAATTTAAAGACATGGTGACCAGATGCAACAATGTTGGAGTAAGAGACTTGAAATTCCTCCTATATAAACAGTGTGGGGAGATGTAAGAGATTTCAGGTTGCCCTCTGTCCTGTTCCCAAGGGGAAAAAAAAATATTCTTCAATAATGCCAAGGAGATAAGGTGCCAGTTCTCAACTGAAGTCATTTTTCACGCCTTCGCAGTGGAAGACTAGGTCAATCAAAAGCTTCATCATGCAGCAATAGCTCAACCCAAGAAAGTACTGTTAAAGAGAAACCCAGCAAAAATTGTTTTTTGGGTTGTTGGGTTTTTTAGTTGTTGTTTTTTTTTTTTTAAAGTTTGCAATCAGGAAAAATAGTTGCTTTTCAACAGGTGCCTATTTTTAAAATTTAGTATAATTGAAAAACTCTCAATTAGCAAAATTGGAGTCATTATTCTTTGAAGATAGAACTTAAGATGGATGCTTAAATTTAACTTCTTTACTTCACATGCTCTTGACTGCTGTCTGACTGATGGTATGTGGTCATTAGCAGTCAAAATCAGAGTGAGGCACTAGATAACTCAGGAGGGAAGATATGGGGAGATCAGAGTTATAAAGAGAGATAATCTAATTTTCTCCCAAACAGTCTGGTCTTTCAAATGAGTTGCATATCACTGAATGGTAAGCTCGCTGCTGGATATTTAGAACAAATAATATTCTATCACTTTGCTCACATGAAAAAGCTCTAGAAGAAAAAAAAGTGGGGAGTCAAAAGGGTGGGGAATGTAAATGAGACAATAAGTGCTGTTTAGTCAATGGCACTCAGGTACTGGCTTTATTAAACTGAAATGCAAACCTTGCTCTCTAGGTTCATATTTATGTGGATACTGTAGTCAACCACATGTGTGGATCTGGTGCTGGCTCTGGTAATAGTTCTACTTGTGGAAGCTATTTCAATGCAGAGACCAGAGATTTTCCTGCTGTGCCATACTCAGCCTGGGACTTTAACGATGGTAAATGTAAAACTGGAAGTGGAGACATTGAAAATTACCATGATGTGACTCAGGTAAATTTAGAATTGTAAAATATATTTTCCCTGTTTATTCTTACTCCCATCCTCTTCTTTACAGGGCTATGCTGTCACATAAAAATCTCAGAACAGGAAAAACTCAGAGATGGGTGAATAACTGATTTCTCAGTTCATTGGCAATTTCAAAATAATAATATAATAAAGTTTCCATCTTAACGTTTTACGTTTAAAAAAGCTTAAATTAAATTGAAGGGGTATTTTGAAATAAAAATAGTTTCAAACCAAAATATTGATACTTTTTTTTAAAGAAAAGTCAAAATGAAATTTTGAAATTTTAGGAATTTCTCAGCCCCCCTCCCGCCCCCAAACAATTTGGCAAAACTGACACAAATTCATTCTTTTCCTTGAAAAAATGTTTGATAGAAAATTTTTGCCCAGCTTTAGCAATATTTCATACATAATAGTCTCTCCATTAATTAGTTAGTAGGGGTAGTGAGAATTACGTAACCAATAGGCTACATTTCAGCAAGATACTTTAAGCATGTGGATAGTCCTATCAAATCAGTGGGATAACTCTTATAATTATAAGTTAGGAATGTGCTTAAGTACCTTGCTAAATCAAGGCCATGCTGGTCATTTCAAAGGATATTGTTACCTCTTAAAAGCTAATCAGGACTGAGCCTGATCAGTAAATATGCATGCAAATCCCAGGGTAATACAGAAAAGTGTGAGTAGTTAGCATTCTTCCTTGTGCTCCTTTATGGGTGAGCCACACAACTGACTTGACCTCTTGTGATTAGTTGGTATTTAATGGCTCCTTTTCCCAGTGAGGGGTCTTAGGTCATCAGCTGTATTCACCAAATTCCATTATGCATTCCATTGCCTAAATTCCCATGGCAGCTTCATTTGGAAGCAATATTCTTCACCCCCCTGCCCTGAACAGTTAGGTAGTGGTGCTGTGCATTGCTAAACAGCATCTTTTACCCCATTTCAATGGTATATGAAAGGATTCCTGTGTATATCTCTCTTACTCTGTTTCCTTTGTCCCTGTCTTGAGGGCTGTGGGAGGGGGAAAGAGATTGTAAAATTCATTAAGCGATTGGGTATCATTCAGGATGAAAGATGCTAAAGTGTCATTATTATTCACCTCTTCACTGTAATACTGAGATCAAACACTTGATTACACATGGCCTCTCAGAAGTACACTAGGATTGCCATAGGAAACCATTCTTTTTCTGTGAATATTTTAAAATACTCTTTTAAAATCTTCTATTTCACTGAAAATTCTCATCAGCAAATTTTACAGGAAGCAAACACAAAAATGGGCGTGAACACCGTCAAAATGAATTTGTTTAAAATTGTGAAATAAAATCTGTGGCAAAATTTTGTATTATGAATCCAGCTATAATAAAATCTCTCATGTACTCCCATGATAAGAGAAAAGTAGCATGTAGTTGATGTTGAAGAGAAATATTTTTATCTGTATATTAGAGCTGAAGTAAAAATGACATATTAAGCCAGATTACTCCTCCTAGCTGTATTAAAATCACATGAGTAGGTTTGGCAGAATTTGATTTTTATTTTGTATAATTTTGATGGATCATATTGTTGTTTATTTTTAAGCCTTTTTACATTTTTATCGATTTAAATAGAGTTGCAAAAATTGTTTTAAGCATTTTTTATATTTGTATTAATTTTAAATTTTCATAGGTGTGGGAAATTATGGGAAAGGTCATATAATTTTTAATGATAGTCCACATCGAGATTCAAAAAGTTCAAGCTTTATAATCATTAAAACAAAAATCAAATACCAATAAGTTCTCAAGCAGCATTTTTCTTACTGTGCTACCTGTAAATTTCAATTTTTATTGGGGGAAATATTTTTTCATTGATTTGTGTGTGTATGATGAAATCAATGTGTACTGAGAGTTGCTCATAAAAATCTAATCCTTCCAAACCTCCCTATGAGTATAGAATTAATGGACTGATTCTCAGCTGGCATTTTCCTAAGTCACTTACACCTATGCAGAGTGGTTGTAAAATGCAATCAGTCTTTGTACAGATATAAACAACTACACATGATGCAAAGTAGTAAAGAATCAAGTCCTATATCAGTAAAGTCTAGTATATGTAATCCCAGTGTCACCTGCAGCCATATGTATGTTATGCACATTGTGTACCATTGGCAGTGACAACAAAGAGTAGTGCTGGCTGGCCCACTGGGCGCTCATGTTTGTTCCTGCCAGCCCCCCGTCATGTAGGGGAGGGGAGCAGTGGGGCCAAAATTGAGAGGTGTTGCAACCTGGTGCACAGGGGTCACAGTGCCACTCAGATTTGGCCCCATGATGGAGAGGCTGTGGGACCAACCCTGAATGGGTACGCAGGGCAGTGGGATGGCCAGCACTGATCCTCCTTGTCATTGTCATGGGGCTAGCTCATGCACCAGGACGCCTTCACAGGGGCTTGCCCTTCCTCACCCCACTTTCAGCAGCCCATGTCCCCTCTCAGGGATGGGGAGTGACACAACACCTGATGGGCGAGGCTGGAAGATGGGGGCTGAGCACGGCATGGGTGAGGTGCTGGTGCCAGCAGCTCCCCTGGGCATGCTCCACAGGGACTGACAGTGCATATCATGGGGAAAATTTCTGGGGGTGGCCCTGTGTAATTCTATATTATTCTGTGCTTTTTTCAACAATGGCTTTGCAAGAACTGTGTTCAGGACATTTCATTTAGCACGTGGGATGAAAATTGTCTTAAATCAGTGTCCCAGCTAATTTTTTAAACAGGTCCGTGACTGTCGCCTTGTCAGTCTTCTTGATCTTGCCCTGGAGAAGGACTATGTGCGCTCGAAAGTTGCTGAATACATGAACAAACTTATTGATATTGGTGTGGCAGGCTTCAGAATTGATGCTTCCAAGCATATGTGGCCTGGGGACATGACAGCATTTTTAGACAAACTGAAAAATCTAACTAAAACATGGTTTTCCAATGGATCGAGACCTTTCATTTACCAAGAGGTAATCTAGTTTTCTTAGTTTCACTCTACAGAGAAATGGGTTCTTTTATGCAAATACAGTATGGACTTGGGGGAGAGGAGACCAGAGGTTTTTAATGTTTTTCAATTGCACCTGAATTTGGGATGCTTTAGGAAGCAATAAATGGAATTTAGTAAGTAAAACTTATTTCTGTTTTAATGCAGTCAATTGATTTATTCTTCCCTTAAAGCAGCATTTAGGTCTATGAATTATATCTTTTTAACCAGGTGATTGGACTATAATAGTGGCTTTTCTTTCTTCTACTAGGTAATTGACTTGGGTGGAGAGCCAATTAAAAGCAGTGAATACTTTGGAACTGGCCGAGTGACTGAATTCAAATATGGTGCCAAACTGGGTACAGTAATCCGCAAATGGAATGGAGAAAAGATGGCCTATTTAAAGTAATATATCTATAATTTGAATTAATCATTAGATTCCTGCAATATTTGAACTACTAATTTCAATGTGTTTGACTCTTTGTTTGTTTGTTTAGGAATTGGGGAGAAGGCTGGGGTTTTATGCCCTCTGACATAGCCCTTGTCTTTGTGGATAATCATGACACCCAAAGGGGACATGGTGCTGGGGGAGCTTCTGTTCTAACCTTCTGGGACTCCAGGTAGCTTCATACAGCCAACAGAGTTCCCTTTCTTCTTCTTCTTCTTTCTTCCTTCCCACCCTCTCCCCATTTCCCCCCTCCCCCCCAAAAAAAAGATAGTGTATCTTCATGTGTCTCATTACTCTTTGGTTTACAGACTATATAAAATGGCACTTGGCTTTATGCTTGCTCATCCTTATGGATTTACACGTGTTATCTCAAGTTACCGTTGGCCAAGATATTTTCAGAATGGAAAGGTAGGTTTATGATCAATGAGAACAAGTCTGTAGGCCATTAGGCTGTTAATTATCCCTGTGTCATCTTGTATGCTTCATTGAGCTGTCTCCCCAGATAGAAAGTTTAATCTGTATAACTTTGTGTTTAATAACAAGGACATTAATGATTGGGTGGGACCACCAAGCTTTGAGGATGGATCAACCAAACCTGTTACAATTAATCCAGACTCCACTTGTGGCAACGACTGGGTCTGTGAACATAGATGGCGTCAAATAAAGTAGGACACTGCAAACAGCAATTCCCAATATATTCTTCACCTGATGTGGGGATATTTTAATTAAAGTCAAGCCCATTGGTTGTATTTTCAGGAACATGGTTATTTTCCGTAATGTGGTTGATGGCCAGCCTTTCTCAAACTGGTGGGACAATGACAGCAATCAAGTGGCTTTTGGGCGTGGTAATAGAGGATTCATCGTCTTTAATAATGATGACTGGTAAGTGGAAAGAGTGAATACCTTCAGAAAAAATGTTACCCCCTGGTCAAGCTGTAGAGCCTATTACTGGCTATAGAGTCTGTGGCAACTAGTTGGTGGGACAGATCAAGGCTCTTACGTAATGCAACTCCAAACCTACCATCTTCCCACTCCCAAAAGCATTCTTCAAAACCCAGCATTAGCTCCTTAAGCAACACAATATTCTGCTGCTGGTTCCTGGTCATTGGACTTGAAACCTGCAGTAAGAGGTTGGTCAGTGAGGAATGCATGACCATGCAGATCTGAGAGGTACTTTGGCCACTATTGGTGTTGGGCCTGGGCCTAAATAGGCTAGCAGACATGGCTGTGAGGAATGGGTGGAGAATTGACTGAGAGTAATGTGGGTCAAGCTGGGATAGGTTTGAGAAAGGGCTGGCAGCTGGGAGTTTTCAGCTTTCTTTTATGGTGAGAAGAGTTAATGATTGGATTGGATGTTTTAGAGGAGCACAGCAGTCAGGAAGTTCTCAGAATTGCATTGCATATGAATTGTTCTCAATCTTCTGTGTGTGTTAAGGTTTGAATCACTCACTTCATTTAAGTGTCTTCCTGCCTTATACAAAGGGTTTTCTGTGTCTAACCAGGCCCACTTCCTTTCTGGATATTCCACAAAGCTTCTGGCAGAGTCTCAGCAGGGCTGGCACTTCATGTTAGGGTTATTGTTGTGCTTTTCTAGACTTCTGTAGAGTCAGAGGTGCAGAAAGAGATGTAGGGAATCTGTGATGCTGAGGTAGCCCAAAACAATATGATATTGGTGGAAAAGAGCCCTCCTGATTCGAATGGAGAGTGCCAAAACTGCTGAGATGACTCAATGGGACTGTCAGAAAAGGTAATTTGGGTGTGTAGAGAGGGAGGGACTTGGGAGAAGAAAAAGAACAATAGGAGCCTAATAATAAGGAAGACTCTAAACTTTTGGAAACTGACAAGAATACCTGCATTTACTGTCCCTGTAGATAATATCCTACACATTTGTCTTCATGTTTTTTTCTCTAGTTATTTGGGGTCTAATTCTGTCTTCTGATTTGTATTCACAGTCCCCATTGACTTGCTGTGGAAATTATATCCACACACAGGCATAGTTTATACTAGTAAATATAGCAAGTAGAGTATAATTGAGTCTTTCATGTGTAAAGTATCAGAGGGGTAGCCGTGTTAGTCTGGATCTGTAAAAAGCGACAAAGAGTCCTGTGGCACCTTATAGACCAACAGACGTATTGGAGCATAAGCTTTCGTGGGTGTAAATTACACTGTAGATATCTCCTTCATGCAAAAGCAGGAGGAGCTGTCAGATAGAACTGTATTCATGAGAGCATGAAAGAGAAACTGTCTGAAAGATACTTCAGCAGATTAACATTTGTACTCGTGTCTATCCCAGATGAAATGGGGCTTCAATTTTAATTAATTTTTGCCCTTTCAGAAGTGGGATCGTTCTAAAGATAATCAAAAGCTAATTCTTTAAATGTCCAGGTCAAATGAAAAATGAGTCTGAATAATTTATGTTCACCAGCCTATATTATTGAATTTTAAATATATGAAGCCTTTGTGAATGGGAGTAGACGGATAACCTCTGCTTACTCATGCCTACACAGGCGAGGCTTGATGGTATTTCAAACTGGAACCTTTATGTCTAGCAGGGCTGCATGGGCCCGTTGAGGCCATATAGACCAGGGGTCTCAAACACGCAACCTGTGGGCCGCATGCAGCCTGCAGAGTTATTTCCTGCGGCCCGCCATAGGGACCAACTCCACTGGCAGCCAAGCTCCCCTCCCCCCCCGCCTCCCCCCGAGCGTGCCACGTCCCCGCTCCTCCGCCTACCTCCCAGCGCTTCCCGCTGCCAAACAGCTGTTTGACAGCGCTTAGGACTTTCCAGGGGGGAGGAGTGGGGATGCTGCTCTCTATGGGGAGGAGGCGGAGAAGAGGAGGGGCAGGGGCGGGGATTTGGGGAAGGGGTTGGAATAGAGGCAGGGAGGGGGTGGAGTTGGGGCAGGGACTTTGGGGAAGGGGTGGGAAGAGGCAGGGTACGGGTGGGGCAGTGTGTTTGAGACCCCTGTGATAGACTGTTAGTTAGAGGCATCAGGCACCATCGCCCAGGGGTCTCTCTGTTAGGGGTGCTGGGCACCCAGAGGTTCCCCTCTTTTCCCCCATTGCCCGGGGTCTCTCCGTTGGGACACTGGACAGTGTCTGTGACAAAGTGGAAATTTTCTGTAACATTTTTATAATTCCTAGGTGAGCCTCAGTTTCCCCCTCGACTTTGCGCTGTGACCGGGGGGGTGGAAAGGGTTACTCAGTGCAGGAGAGAGTCGGCACCTATGGCGGGCCGCAGGAAACGGCCTGCGGGCCGTGTGTTTTGAGATCCCTGGTGTAGATCATCATCAGTGTTACTAACCACATAAGGAATAGTTACAGTGTTTATATTTTATTAAAACCCCTCTTCGCTTTACAGTTTTTAAAAAGTTAATACATTGACTTTTAATAGCATACTATATTACTCTTCGGTTTTTGACTATACTTTTGTATCGTTGTATGAAAAGGTTTCAGTGATGCAGCCCTCAGGCCAATGTACTAGTCCTCATGTGACCCTCGTGATGATTTGTGTTTGAGATCCCTGATATAGACAGTACATACAATGGCCTTAGTATTCACTGTAGGCTCATGTTGCTCCCTACCTAACACACACAGGCTCTGCTGTATCAGGGGCCTGGTCTACACTACGACTTTAATTCGGATTTAGCTGCGTTAATCCGAATTAACCCTTCACCCGTCCACACTACAGAGCCAGTTAATTCGAATTAAAGGGCACTTAAAATCGATTTCTGTACTCCACCTCGACGAGCGGAGTAGCGACAAAATCGATTTTGTTAATTCGAATTAGGGTTAGTGTGGCCGCACACCACCGAATTAATGTGGTTAAATTAATGGGGTAGTGTGGCCGCACACCACCGAATTAATGTGGTTAAAAACCGAATTAATGTGCTTAGTGTGGCCGTGCACAATCAAATTTATACAACCTGTTTCCCAAATTCGAATTATCTAAATTCGGATTAATCCCGTAGTGTAGACATACCCAGGGACTGACAGACCAGCCCCAAGAGTAAACCCCAAGTGTCGGATATTGTAGTGCAGAACACTATCCCCAAAGCCACCTGGCTGACCAAACATATGACGCTTTATAATAAAAGAGAAGTACTGGAGAGTCTGAATTACTGCTTATTCCTCTTCAATCTGTTTTTATACATAGGAGCTTGAATGTGAATTTGCAAACTGGCCTTCCTGCTGGAATTTACTGTGATGTTATTTCTGGGCAAAAGGAAGGTGACCGCTGTACAGGAATACAGGTGCAGGTTGTAGGTGACGGCACTGCTAACTTCCAGATTAGTAACCAGGCTGAAGATCCTTTCATTGCAATTCATGTTGATGCTACATTGTAATCCATGCAAGAATGAATGATTCTCTGTATAACATCCCTAGCAAGGAATAAACTGTGTTGGCACAAAAGTCATGTTTTTTTAATCTCATTAATGAAATACTATGTCATTGCTGTAATATTATTACAGAATAACTAGCACTGGTAGTTTTTTGAGATGGTGTAACAGGCCTACCAATATGGTTCATTTTAAAGACTACTTCATTTTATTTCACATGAAGACAGTAAAGGAGACATTAAACCATGAATTGAGATGATTTTACTGTTGTAATTCCAAAACTCAGGCAGGCAGACAAACAGACACACACAGTATAGGTGGAGCTTGTAACAGCACCTATTTCAGCCGGCTGAAAAAACTGATTTTTTTGGTTTGCTGGCAATGCAAAAGTATTGAAAAAGATCTTGTTTCACATCAAACCTGTGACCCTCTGTACCTCAAAGTGGCACTCTGAAACCCCCATATTCACTACTGTCATATAACTATGTTTTGTACAAAGTATGCCTTATGAGGTATCGGTCTTGATCTGTTGAACAATAATAACCTGTTGGATTTTATGTACTATCATTGTATATGAAGTTATGAAGTATTACTACATGTGTTACAGAAATATGTTGTGAGGTTAGGAACACCCACAACCAAAGATGTGGCCTTTGATGGCTACTCGGCATTAATGGCTCATCAACACATAACCTAGAGACTTCTCCGAGGAGGCAAATATGCCATGGGGCAGACTATCCCGCATCATAGCAATGATCTTTGCAGCAAACTGGAAGAAGAGAGACAGTGACATCATCACTTGGCCTCTCCCTCCCTCCCACCCCTGCCTCAAGCTCAATACCTGGAAGAATGTCTGGATAAGAGTGGTCCCAGACTGGAAGGTGGTCCCAGCCTGAGTCTTGGGGAGCTGTAACCTGCTTGTACCATCTGTCAGGGTGAGATACTGTTTGCTTCAGCTCTTGTAGTAGTGCTGCAACCATTGGCTGGCTTAAAGACAACAATAGGGCCCTCGTAAAGTGTTTTCACCCCTGAGTAGGCTAGATTGGCTCCTGGCCCTATGGTCTCACCTGGGACTCAACACCAGCTGGGTCTGTGCCTCCCAGGATACTGGTATCCACAGGTTTGTAGCTGCCTGACCTAGGCAGTAGACCCTTTGTCTCTGAGTCAGGCTATCCTCTGCCTGAGGGGCTTAGCGGTCATGTCTCATTGTGGGTTCAGCAAACTGCCTGTAACAATTGATTACTGACTCCATCACAAACCTCTCTAGTGGCTTTTCAGTCTATTCTGTTCCTGCCTCAGACTTAAGCAGGCTGGGGAAAGGTGTCTGGAGGGCCTGGAGCATTGTTGTAGGCCAGCGGGTGGATGGAGAAATGATCCCCAAACTGTGGGAGCAAGTAAACCAAATTATTTCTCTTATAATACAGACCCAGAACTAGTGTTTATTGTATTGCTTTTTAAATAGCTAGGAATGCAACATTGGGAGGGGGCGCGGAGGGGCCCAGGCCAACTCCTATGGGGGAGGGAGCACCACCCAACCCCGCTCCACACTAGGTTTGCCAACTTTCTAATTGCAGAAAACCGAACACACTTAACCCCCACAACCCTGCCCCTTCTCCGAGGCATCACCCTCGCTCAAAAGAGAGTTGTTTTTCTGTCTCTGTTTCCTGTCGCCAATAAAGTCCCCCTTTGTTATACTGTTCTTTGTGTGTGTGTCATTGAATTTGTTTGGGGTGGCAATATTGAATTCTATTTCTTATATGCTGGGTCAGAAGCCTTGGTAAGAACAGGAGTATTAGTCCAAGGGACAGCATCTGCTTGTGTCCTAGAATTCACCTTGGTTGGTGGCACCAGGCAACACAACAAAGAACCTAGGTCGCTACCGTTGGGGTGGGGGTGGGAGAGAAGACCCTCTAACTAGCAAGCAACAGGGAGGAGGCTTGACCCCCCCCCGACCCTCATAACTACACCAAGTTATTTATTTTTAAATACTAAAAGCAGTTTGTGCTGCTCTCTGCATTGACAATATTTTGAATAATAAAAATAAAGCGGCATCTCGTACAGTCTATGATGAAACACTGCTGCTAAGAAATTCACTAAAATCTGTACAGCAGCCTATTTACAAAAAAACTTTTTTTTCAAAGATAAGATTTTGTACTGCACCCATCTCCATGGTAGCTGAAGAACCTACAGAATTCCCAGTGCCTGTGATTTAAAATTTCCAAGAAAATAAATTTTGTGTGTCCACGTGTGTGTGTGTGTGTAGTTGTGTGCACACTTCTACACTGGGTGCTTACTGCGTTAAACAGTAAGTGAAGCTTAGATTTTTTCCCCCCCACAATGCCTAAAGAACTTGGCTTGGTAGTTGGATGTTCAAATGCCTTAGTCTGCTTTGAAAGGCAGATGGGAGATAGGCACAAAGAATACCAGTCTTTATAACTGTTTTTGCATATCACCAGAAGGCTGTTTTATTACATCAGGGTCAGAATGGTCCTATTTGGATGCATGTTAGGCATCTAAATTCCTCTTGCATCATCTAATTTGAGTTCCTCCATGTGGGTTTAGCTGCCTACTTTAGTGGCATCCATGTTAGAAATTGTAGGTCAAAAGACTCATAGCTTTTTAAGGCTAGAAGGGACTTTTGTGACCATCAAGTCTTATCGCCTGCATAACACAAGCCATAGGCCTCCCCTGAATTAATTCCAGTTTCAAGGCCAATAGCTGTGGTTGAACCAGCGCATGTCTTTTAGTAAACCATCCAATATAGATTTTAAAATTTCCAGTAATGGTGACTCCACCACAGCTGGTACGTTGATCCAATGGTTAATAATTACTCACACTGTTAAAAGCTTACACTTTATTTCTAGCCTGATGTTGGCAACTTTTAGCCATTGGATCTTGTTATACCTTTTGTTTGCTAGACTGAAGACCCCCTCTAGTATCAAATTTCTGTTCCCTGTGTAGGTACGTTGGGGGTCAGATTATAGCGCTGGCCAGCTCAGTGTTTTAGAAGCTTTTTAGTTTGAGTTTGGATTTAAAAGTTAGGTGAGTTTGACCAGCTAGGTATATATTTTTTAATCTATAGCCATCATCGTAACATGTACTGGCTGTTGGCAGTTGGAGGCTTACTGGTGGAAAGCGGAGCCTGCTCTCTGACAACTTACTGTTCTTGTGATGTAACCAGGCTTGTGTGTTAGTTGCCTGTGACCAATCAATTCCTGGTGAGAGAATGAGTCTCACGGTTTCTCAACTTCTGGCTGTCATTCGTTCATATTGTTAAGCTTTCCATCTTCCAGAGTCTCTTTTTAAGTTTAATACATTTTCTTAATATTTACTTTTCTGTGTGTTTACTAAGACTGTGGAATTTAATTACTCTTTGTTTTAGTGGGAGACTACGATATGATGCATCTCTTTGAAATTCATATTGCCTTTGTCTTCACTGCAAGAACAGATGTTTTTCCATCAAGATAGATATCTTGTAAAAGATAGCTATTGGTAAAACCTGTTTCAGGTTTTGGGGGGTTTTTTGGTTTTTTTTTTCAGTGAAGACACAGCCATTATCTCTCTAAAAAACCTGACTCACGCCCTTCTTATATCTGCTGTATCATTTCAGCTGGTCTGTTCTGCTATTTCCCTATTGTTCTGAGTCCCTTCCACATTTTGGCTAAGATTTGCTCTCTTTCTAAAAGATAAGCTTTAGTTCAACCACAGGTTTTTGGGCTTGATGTAGGAATTTTTTATGAAATTTGTGGCCTGCATTATGCAGAAGGTCAGACTAGCTGATCCCAATGAGCCCCTTTAGCCTTAAAAAGCTATGCATTTATAATTCCCTACTACCTCTCAATCAGTCCAAGTAGTAAAATATTAACCAAAGTCACATTAACCTCTTTCTGTCTGATTCTACTCAATTGTTCCCACCAAATCAACAAGAAAGAACTAATGGTGAATTTAACTTCTGTGACTATAGTCCTTTTGATCACCAAATTGTTATATATGTTGGGATGCCTTCTGAGCTTTTTCCACTTCTTTTTTCCAGAACACCTTGTCAAGTTCTGGGAGAACACTTCATCCAGTTCTCTGGGATCCAGAAGACAGCTTGACACTCAGATTACTTTATTAGGCATGTACAGGGCTGGCTCTTGCATTTCTGCCGCCCCAAGCAGCAACAACAACAACAACAAAAAAGCCGCGATCGGCAGCGGCAATTGGGGGGGGGGGGAAGCCACGATCGGCGGCGGCAGTTCAGCGGCAGGTCCTTCGCTCCTAGAGGGAGTGAGGGACCTGCCACCCCCAAATTGCCGCAGGTGCCGCCCCTCTCCCTTGGCCGCCCCAAGCACCTGCTTGTTAAGCTGGTGCCTGGAGCCGGCCCTGGGCATGTAACTGCTCTTTGCATATGCTAGTCAGGCCTAGATGCAAGGAGTTTAGGTACAGGGGGATACCATGATTCCAACTCTTGTCACACCACACACCACCTATCCTAGCTACCAACATCTATACTTGTATGTAAAGATTAATTGCTTTGCAGCTTGCATAAGGCATGCTTATCAGTTCAAGGTGTTTCTGACTACATTGTTTACTATAAACATAACCACACTAGTTAGTGTCTATCTCCCTTATTTACTATAAACACAGTCATAATAGTTAATTGTTTCAGGAGTTACATGCTTGGGTTTGTTCAGTAATTACTCACTCATGTCTTGTCTTAATTTGGGATTGCTCAGCTAAGCCAGTCAGCTAAGCCAGTGCTACAATAAAAGACCCAATATGCATCTTTTTGCAACCCACAAAACTACAGAAAAATACAATTTCTTCTGGTTATTCTTAAAATATTTTTAGGCTACAGGGAAAAATACATTTTAAAATAGCCAAAGCACAATGCCACCCATGTGTCCCCTGGGGCAGTGTAGTTCCATGCCTCCCCACCCAAGGGCTACCTATCCTATGTGGCAGCAGTTTAGCCCTGAGAGAGAAATTCTGGACTTTTAAGAAATGATGGAGCCCTCTAGAGGTGCAGTGCAGATGGATGTTTCATATT